AGGTCAGTGTTACGTAAAGCAACTGCATCAGCTTGTTGCAATGGGTTGAGAACAGATAACGTCTAAAAAAAGAATAAAATAAAATAAATAAATAAAAATAAATAAATAGCAAAAAAACATACATTCTCCTTGATGACACTAAAGTCAATTCCAAGCTCTACAAAAGAAATTTAAAAAAAAATAAAAATACTTCTTGCATACAATACCTTCCAGTAATGGTGGGTCTTCTTCAAACCCAGAGTGTCCTCCCTGACTATCATAAGCTCCTCCTCCTCCTCCTTGAGACATGAGGCCCATACTACCAGCTGGTAGAGGCTGACCAGCTGGAGGGTAGGGATCAACCTCCATCCTCTCTCCTTCCGACTCTGAAATACATTAATAATAATAATAATGAATATAATAATGCTGTTTATACTGCATTTTAAAATGACCGTAACTTGAAAAATTGAAGTTGGAATCAGCTCAAACTTTCTACACAGCATAAGTACATCAATATGTATCAGAAAATGTAATAAAAATTGGGGGTGATTTCGGAGCCATTTTTTGGAAAAAACCATGGGCTATAGTACAGGGATTTTTTCAGATTTTGGCCAATTTTTTAAAATGGCTATAATTAAAAAAATTGAAGTTTAAATCTGCTCAAACCTTCTACATGTACATTTTATCTAACAATTAATATATACCTGGCACAGTGTAGCCCATTCCTCCAGAATACTGCTCCTGTGAGTAATAGTTTGACTGGGACCCATCAGTATAATACTGGTTACTGTACTGCTGGGTGGGTTGATGGGCGGGTGGTGGTTGGTGGTGGTACGGCTGCTGTTGCTGGTAGTGTCTGGCTGATTGGAGTGTCTCTGAGTCCAGTGTATAGTTCGTAGGATAGAAATCTTGTTGGTAGCCGTCGTCCTCCATCTTGTTTTTGTTTCCTTAATAATGGGTGGGGCCTCAAAATTAATTAGGTAGGCGTGGCTAAAATTAATTTTAAAAATTATGATTTTTAATAGCTTTTTTCAATATTATGCATAACCTATACACAATATAATGCTACAGTTTAGTCATTACTCTTCTGATTATTGTAAAAATAATTATGTTCTTTAGTCAGGATAATACAGTGGTTGCTTTGGTAAAAATTCAATGTATATAACCTAGTAAAATAAAATAATAATAATAATAATAATAATAAAATAACATTTTCTTCTTACATATTCTCTGAGGTTGTTTCCATCACAGAACTCCTTCTGCAGTTTAATGTTAAGCCCCAGCTGGCAATGAGAGAGAGAGAGACAAAGAAGTGACAATGAGAAGTAACAGTGCAGCCATTGTTATATTCATTAGTACCTTATTGTACAGCCTCCAGTTCTCCTGGGAGATGACCTTCTCTAACCTCGTCTTGGTCTATAAGAGAAATAAAAGGAAAAAGAACTTTTACATTTTCTGATGCATATACATGTACTTATATTGCATAGAAAGTTAAAGCTAATTCCAATCAAGTTTGGATTTTTTACAAATTTTTAAAGTTGCTAAAAAAATCAGACCAAACTTCCTGTACTATAGTACATAGTCCAATGATTATAATAATATCCTCACTATAGTACAGGGTAGTAAATTATAATAATATTCTCACTCGTTTGCTGAGATACAGTACAGGTCCTAAGGATATTCCTAAGGTACAGCAGCAACACAAGCAGCCGCAAATAAGACACTTCAAATTAAAAGGAATACTCTTGTACAGGATGGAGTTAATCCTCTCCAAAGTAGCGTGAAACTCTTCTGGTGCAACCTAAGAATAAAAAATAAATAATAATAATAATAATAATGGTTTGTTGTTTTTGAATTGTCACCTTGCCAACTAGG